AGGCTCTGCTTCTCGGGAACTGTGATCCTGCCCAATTTGCTCAGCTTCCTCATCTTCAAAATGGGAACAATATCTGCCCAGTCCCCTCCTAGAGATGTGGGGAAGGTCAGAGGTCATGTACAGGACAATGCTTTGTACACAGGAAAGGCTGGTACAGATGCAGGCAGCCTTGTTACTGTGGCTGCTTGTGTGGTGGCCTGCACGGTGACCCTCTGCAGGGTCAGGGAGCCTTCCTTCCCACAGCCAGCCCCCACTCCCCGATGACATTGCTACTGACTCCGTGTTCCCTGGGGTGAAGTTGAGAACGGCGCCTGTCTGGAACTTGAGCCTGGGGGTACCTGGATGACCGATGAGGTCTAAGATTAGTCACACACACAGGCACACACCCACCACCGACTCCCAGCATTCCCCCACGGGTGGTGTGTGTGCGTGGAGCCCAGTGCGTAGGACTCCAGCTGAGCTCTTCCTCCAGGAGAAAGAGAAAAGGCAGCCGGGGAAGGGCAGGATGTGAGCAGGCTTAACCCGTGTACATTTCACAGTGGAGCTGAAAGGTAATTTCTCCCCTGTGTGGGCCTCCTTGGCCTGGTCCCCACAGAGAAAACCATGGAGCACTTGTTTCAAAGTTCCCAGGAAAAGGGGAAATGATGAAACCTGCATCCTGTTTTGCCTCTGGCCTAGGGAAGAGGACCCAGATGGGGACAGTAGATGGTGGCAGGAGTACTGACAAGATCCTAGGACCTGCAGAGTCGGGGGAACAGAGGAGTTGAGGAGGGGACTCATAGGCACCAGGGGAGAGCCTGTGGCCCTTCTTCCCATCCTGTCCCTACCTTGCTCCATCCAGTCACGTCCAGCAGCCTGGTTCGTTCCCTGCAGCGCCCCTCCCTCAGGATGTGGCTTGGCTTTCCCTGCTGCCCACGTCCTGCTCTTCCTGAAGTCCTTCTGGCTCACCTGCAGCTTCCTGTCTCTGGGAAGGCCGGCTTCCTGTGCCTACCTGTCTTTGATTTGGGTCTCTCCCCGGTGCTTTGTCTCCCCGCTCCAGCCCCTTTGGCTGCTTCCGGTCAGTTTCCCTCCCGCAGAGCCTCTGCTCCCCCCACCCAAGACTTTGTATTCTCCTGCCAGCTTGTTTCCAAACTCGGGCTCCTTGGAGTATTACTTTTCCTAAAACACAGCAGCTGTGCATTTCGCTGGCCTACCCAGCTGTTCTTGTCCTTGACCACAGAGGTCATGTCATTTGTGACAATAAATAGGAAATGAGAATGAGAGCGTTGCCAGGTGCCTCTGGGCTGCCCTTCCAGCTGCCTGCATTCCTGCTGGGAGGCAGTAATAGTAATACAAATAATAAGGCTAATGCTTATACTTTCCATTTTCACTTATCACTTTCCAGATGCTGTGCTGAATGTTTTACATGCATTATTGCATTTAATCTCCATAATAAGCCGAAGACATTAAGTTGTATTGTCAGCCTCTCACAGTTGAGGGAAACCAAGGCTCAGAGAGGTTATGTAATTTGTCTGATATTACCTGCAAGTAAGTGGCAGAATGAGACAAGAACTCGTGTGGGTATGACTCCCATGCCCATCTCCTAACTGTGGCGATGCATCTGCCTCCTGCAGGACAAGAAGTGTTGCCGCGGGGCCTGGCATCCCCTCAGCCAACTTAAACTTCAAGTCACCTTTCCCCCAGTTGCCTGTTGCAACTAGTAACTAGCCTAGATAAGGAACCCTTGTGGTGTCATATTCAGAGCTATGCTTTGTTTCTCTTTTCTCTGTAAAATACCCCAGACAATGAAAAGAGCCTTGGATGGTAGGGGTCATAGTATTTCTCTTTGCTGTGGACTTCCCTGTGCCAGTATCCCATTTTACAGATGGGAAAATTCCTCCTAGTCTTAAGAACTTAATTTGATATTATCCTGACAAGGGAGCTTCAGAGCTAGAAATAATAGCCTAATCTCTTGACTTCCATCCGATACTCTTTCCACCGAGATCATGTTGCCATTCTATTCTGAGCGTGCTAGAAATATGCCCCAAAGGGTGCCTCTTCTGTGCATTCTGTATTGACTTAGAACATTTCTACTCTTTGCGGTAGGCCCTGTGTGTTCTATTCTTGTCTATGAGTGGTGATTGTCAATGGAAAAGAGATTGAATCAAAATCTCTGGGGATTGGGGCATATAGGAAGTTTGAAAAGCATATTCAGTATCATAATCACATCTTAGGTTTGGAAAAATATGTTGTCTTTAAAATGTAAACTATCGAAGGTAGAGTTTGGCAAAAATCTTGCCTGATGTTATAGTAATTCTCAAGTGGGACATGGCACAGTTTTGGGCAGGGGTGTGCTTGTGAAGTCTGTCTTTTATCAAAAGGGGTATGTGCTTTAGAAGGCTGGGAAATGCGGTCTCCCAACAGGAGACTGTAGCATCCTGCTGTTCTGTGTCCAGCAGCCCTACAGGTGTTTACTGGAGGTGCCCGAGGATGGCACACACTCTATGGGGCCATCCTGCCTGCCTTGTCTCTGTTGGACCAAACCTTCTTGGAGCTCCGGGTGGCCTACCTGGTGGCTTCGCTGTATGCCAGATGAAAGTGTTATCTAGTGTAGAGACTTGGTCCTGGAGCGTTCAAGGCTAATCTGAAGCACAGACCCCCATAAAGCTCAGGCGGACATTGAGTGTGCAGATGCCTGGCCCCATGCCTGGTCCTGGGTGTGCAGCTGAACAAAACAGGTATTGTCCTGCCCTTATGGAACCCACAGAGTAGTAGGGAGACATATTATGCCCAAATAATCAAAATGTATACTACAAAAGGGAGAGAATTATAGCATAGGGGGAATGAATTATTTTGGGGTAGAGGATCAAAAATACTTCCCTGAGAAAGATACCTAAGCTGACACCTGAAGGCTGAGACTGAGGTAGTCATGTTTGTCTCCTGTGGCCCCACCCCTGGCCAGGGCTACTTGCTGGCCCATGAGACACCTTTAGGTGAATTAGAAAAAGATGCCTGCTCTGGGCAGAGGCAGCCCTGCTGGGGCCCACTGCTGATGAGTGAACATGAGCTGGGTGGGTTTCAGCCTCTGCTGGCCCCTGGTCCTGGTGCTCATGTGCAGGGCACAACCCAAGACCAGGTGGAGGGGGTAGTTACCTGGGCTGGGTAGAAGGAACTGCATCAGTGAAGCCCTTGGGCAGCAAAGAACTTGACACCTTCCAAGAAGGAAAGGAAGCAGTAGGAAGAAGCAAGTCGCACCTCAGCTTTTCTCCTCTGGTAAGGAGATACTTTCCCTTTGAAGGAGAAAGGAGAGAGAGGCCATGTCAGGGGCACTGGCTAGAGCTTCTAGCCTGTCCACCAAGCACTTGGAGTCTGGCTTCCATGGGGCTGTAGTTGTTGGTGGGTGTCTGCTCTGACCTTCTTCCCACAGAAGATGACCCTTCCACAGTGTCCTAGGAAGAGAGAAAGGCCCTTAAGAGGGGGTTCTGGGGAAGCCAGGACAGAGAATAAGGCCCAGGGCCTGCCAGCTTCCATTTGGCTGCCCCAAGACAGGTGCCTGCTTTATGCCAAGTTCTGTGCTAATCTTTGAATTTGGAATACCGTGAACCTTTAACTTTTTTTTTTGTTTACCTGGGACACACAATCTTTTATTCCACAGGTAGGGATGATGGACTCAGGCGAATGATAGCTAGTAAAGGGAGAGACTGCTGGGTGGAGAGCTCTGCTCACCTTGGGGAAAGTAGCAGGGCATGCTTAAGGAAGTGGCATTTGAGTTCAGTCCTAGGGATGTGAATGCACGTGGACCATTAATTTATAGAGTAGACTAAACCCTAAGCTCTCAGAAGGGAGGGATCCTATCTTGTTGACGATTAATCTGCAAGTGCTTAGCATGACTCCTGGCTCACTGTAGGGACTCAGGATGATTTACAGATTCACTTGGAGATTCACCATCACTCCAGGAAGGCTGTCCAAATTTGAGTCCAGGTCTTCTGTCCCTTTGCCCAAGGTCTGCCACTGTGCCACAGCTGCCTAGTGGTAGAACAACTAAGGGTTGTTTGAGGAACTTGAAATCATGTCTTGAGGAACTGGGACTGCTTAGCAAGAAAGCACAAATGCACAGGGAGATCAGGAAGGTGGTCATTAAATCCTCACAGAACTGTTATCATGATATTACTACCATTTGCTGAGGCCTTCCTATGTGCCAGGCACTATGCTAGTGGCTTCACGTATACCAGCTAATCCTCACAATAATCCAAAGAGGAGGATATTATTATCTACATTTGATGAAGAAGGGAACTGGGGCTTAGATTAAATGGCCCACCCAAGATCGTCTGCCTGGGATTTGGACTGGGTCTCTCTGACTCCCAGACTCATAATTGCTGAGAGATGTTAACCACCACACAGAGCTGCCTAGACATTTTGTCATGTAGTTTCAGAAGCTAGAGCTGGCACTTGTGGGTAAAAGTTCCAGGAAGGTAGTTTTCTGCTCCCCATAGGGTGATTTCTCTTCCTAAAGGAGGACAGTCTGAAATTAGAATGTGCTGCATTCTGAGAGCCCAGCTTCCACTGCAGGAAGACCTCCCAGGATCTCTGGTTTTCGATGGGATCTGGTTCAGCAAAAGTTGAAGCTCTCCTGCCCTAGCCTGGTAGGAGCTTTTTCTGAACTGAGCTGTGAGGGCTACCCTCAGCCAACACAAGCAGCAGTACCCAGACTTCCTGGGTCATCCCAGACTGGGCTCTGTGTTCTGTTCCCTGTTCTCCCTGAAGCCCCAGCTACAGGGCAGGGTCCAGGTTTCCTCCAATAGGAGCTGGGCAGCAGTGTGAGCCCAGCCCCCTCTGGAATGAGCCCCACAGCCACCTGGCCAGGTCTCTGGACCCTGGCATGGAAGCTGGCACTTCCACCCTGGGCTTCAGGGGAGGGTTGATTAGAGTGGGCACACCTATTCTGGGCTCCTTAGGGCTACAGATGTTTGCACAGATGCATTGATTGTCCTTTGACTTTCGCTTTGCCTTACGGACTTCAGGTGACAGTGCTGCTGACTCCATGATGCCGAGCGGTGTGGTGTGGCTCTAGAGCTCCTGCCACACATCAAGTGAGTTGGTATCGGTGGGAGCCCTTTTGTAAACTGCAGGAGGTTGTGGGAGCAGGGGACAACTGATTGGAATGTTGCAAGACCTGGAGGAGATTATGTTCTCAACTCTGTCACATTATGGCCAGGAATTAGAGTTGGAAAAGCCCTCAGCTTTTCCAGCTACCTGTCAAGCGTGGAGTTGCTCCACTCAGCACCCCTGCCAGGCAGTCAGCTGGGCTTTCCTTCAACAAGGCAAACCTTGGATGGTTCTAATTAAGGAACTCTTTCCTCTTGTTGACCTGGTCCTCTGCAGAGCATGTTCCTGTATGCTGCCTTGTTGCCCCTCACCGTGGCCTTGTAAGGGGGTCTGTGCTCAAGGAGCTTGGGTGAGCCTAGGCAGGTCTCCTTTGTGTTTCCCAACTACTGGCTCTGCACAAGTAGATCTGCTTTTATTTGGTAAAGTTTTCCTGTTACTGCTTCTGGGATTCGAGTCTGGGGTGAGCATCAATGACCTGTCTTACAGTTTGGTGAGGGTCAGAGGACGTGGGCCTTACCCCAGTCATCTCACATGTGTGGCCAGGCCCCGAAACACAGCCCCCGAGGTGCTCAGTGTTGTCCTCTGCTGCTCAGGTGCATTCTGCCTCCTTCCTGACCTCCAGCATATTTTATGGGCAAGATTCCAAAAGCCCTTTCCAGACAGCAAGGTCAAAGCTTTTGGCTTCCTCTTTCTTTAGAATGTACCTGGCTGGTGGGGTGAGGGTGGTAATGGACACGTAGGAACCACATGGTACCAAGAACAGGATATAGCAGCTGGGAGGAGGGACCTGGAGTGTGGCCAGGGTATGATGGCTGAGTGCCTCTGAGAAGGGCCACTGCCATGGGAGGCTGGGGCCACCCAGGTAACTCTCTCCTGTTTCTCCTTTAGAGGTCTTGCACCTCTCTGCTTCTTTCTTTTTCTGCTTTTCTTTGTTTTCTCTTCTTATGAGGCACATCTGAGCTGTTCTGTCTTCAGCTCTTCAGCATCTTCTCTTCTGTCCACCTGGAGTTCCCTGATCTTGAGATTTAATGTCCTTGACACATCATATTTCTATAACATCTTCTCCTTCAGGGCTCTGCAGCCATACCTGCCACTTCAGAGCAACTTCTGTCTACCTGGGAGCTTTAACATCGAACCTCAAGACAGTCTGGATGGCTGGCTGCTGGCCTGCCCAGAACGCTTAATTGCCTCTTGCAGGTGACATCTTATTCCACAAGGACATTTCATGACAGAGCCTTAATCCTGAAGGACAGGTCCAGTGGTCAGAATTTGATAGATTGTGGCAAGGCAACAAGGAAGACGTTTAGGGGCAATAGAAGGAAATCAGTCATTTGTGGAGTATCTTCCCCGTGCCGTAGTGAGTTGCTCCTTCCAGCGGGCCTGTGAGGTGGCACCATTATCTCTGTTTTACAGATTCATGAACTCAAGCTTGCTTAGGGTCACCAGTCCAGTTAATGGGTGGGGTCAGAGTATAAATCCTCGTCTGCTTGACTTCGGAGCCCAGGCACCTTCCGCTGGTCTGTGCTTCCTTTCTGCAGGGCCTCTGCCTTCACTGTTTCCTACTAGCCCTGAGCCCAGTGCCTGGCATGAACGTGAACATGTGATGATTGTTATAGAGACAAAGCTGTCAGGCAGGGTGCACCTGGGATGGTTCTGCAGATGACTGAGGCCCCTGTAGGGTGGAGAAAGCAGCGGCTGTCTTCTGTCCTCGGAGGGGGCTCCCAAGCTCACAGTGAGAGTGTCCAGAAGTGGAACGAAGGGGCGGTGGTGCTGGGTGTAGCAGACCCAGAGTTACAGCAGGACTGCTGATCTCAGCGGGCTCCTGAGGCTGACAAAGACCAGCTTCCTGGTGCCTCTGTGGGAGGTGGTGTCAGCGAGATGATGCCCACCATCCCCTGGGCCAACCCCTTCCCCATTTCTCTTGTTCTTCCCAACCTCTGCCCCATGACAGCCAGCAGGCTGAATGTGAGGGGACCCATCGAGGGGCTAGAATAAATGTTGATGTGCATTTGGCTTTGCATCCCTTAACCCTTTCTCACCAGTGGGAGTCAGACTTTCGTACCTTTCGGGACCAGATTCGTCTTTCTGGTCCCCTACATTGGCTCGCATGTTGCCTTTTCCCACTCTCACCCCTGCTTGTGCCTCATTATGAGTTCCTCATGGAGCATTTGCCCTGACTTGTACACCCCCTTCACTTCTTCTCCTCTCCTGACTCCTAGAACTTAGTGGGTTAGCTAGGGGTCAGGACTCACCCTTCCACCACAGGCTCTGAGAAAGGTATTTGACGATGATGAAGATGTACATCCCACTGGTGCTCAGCTCACCCTGTGAAGGCCGGTGCATTTATTCACCTAGAGCTATCCTGCTGTATGGAAGGGGCCTAATGATACAATGGCTCAAAGAATGAGAAATTGATTTTTCTGTCTCATGTAGTGGCCTTTATGTCCCTGACGTGAACAGACCAGGTTAGAGGGGCGCCTCTGCTGCTTGTGGTCATTCTGGGATCCATTTCCTTTGGAGGTGCTGCTCCATCACAGGACATCATTGTCCCCATGGTTGCAGGTTGGATTCCAACCAAGGGAAGGGACAAGAGGAGGTGTAGGAGGCAAGCCTGCTGTCCTTAGGCCCTGGTCCTTTATGGCTCAGGTCCCTACAGCTCACATTCCATTGGCAAGAATGTAATCACATGGCCACCCTGTCTGCAAGGGAGGCTGGGAAATGTAGTCCACTGGGGCTGCCACTTGCCATGAAGGAGGGGAGAATGGATTTGGGTAGACAACTGCCAGTCTCACCACAAAAGATGGAGAGTATTTTCATTTGCATGCGCTAGTAAGAATTTTTCCCAGCCTGTAATGTGCCTGCTCTCTTTGATAACTTGCACACATGCCTCCTTCCTTGGCAAATCTCTGTGTGTCAGACTCAAAGCTGCACAAACTGGGTGAACCAGAACTGAGTAAGGCAGTTCCGCCTTTTAGCAACTCAGTGTAGTCTGGAGAGGGCATGTTTGGAGGCCAGACAGTCCATAAGTGCCAACACAGACATTCTTTTGTTCTTGTGCATGAGGCACTACAGATACAGAGCTGAAAGACCGTGTGTGGCCTCCGTGTACTTGCAGTCATGTGGACCAGGAGGTGGAAGTGAAGTGCTGGGAGCAGGGCTGGCTTGGGCAATGAGGAGGGCTTCACAGAAGAGGAGACATTCGAGCTGGGCACAGAAGGGTTCGGTTTCAACAGGTGGAGGAGGGGATCTTCAGCAGAGACCAATAGTGAAGGCATGCAGACTAGTAGAAGCCCGTGCAGGGCTGCTGGCTCGGGTGTGGCCTGAGTGTAGTGGGAGGGAGTCCAGATGTCTGCGTGGCTCACTCCTCGTTCCATTCTGGCCTCTGCACCTGCCTTCCCTGGCTTCCCTCCCTGCAGTGGTGCCCCCTCTCATGCCTTTATATTTCTGCTTCATTTTGAGCAGAAGACATAAATACTTGGCACATCTATATTGACCTGTACATCGTTTGTCTCTCCCTCTAGAGTGTAAGCCCCATGAGAGCAAGGATTTTGTTTTGTACAGTACCTGGCAAATGGCAGGTACTCAGAAACTTGTTAAATGAATAAATGAGCAAATAGAAATGTGTGTTGAAGATCATATTCTTGAAAAACCTTATTTTCCATGCTGAAGAGTTTGGCTTTTATTTTGTAGGCAGTGGGGAGCTACAGAAAGTCTTTGAGCAGGAAAGTGACACAATCACTGTAGAGAAGAAGGTTCCTGGCAGCAGGAAGATGGGTTGGAGCAGGGAGAGAGTGCCCCCTTCCTGTCCTGCCCCAGCTCCATAGCCACATGCCCTTCAGCCCGGTGCCCTGTTTGTGCAGCCTGGAAACCTTTCCCTGGGCACAGTCATTTTGTTTGGGGCCGAGCAGAGATTCAGTCTCTGGTGAGCCTTCATTCCTAGCAGTGGGAAAGATGTGAGCTGACCTCTGCCTTTGTTTTGGGAGCTGAAGAGGGTCTCACAAGCCCTCTTGTGTATTTCACTGGTGAAAGTGAAACTGGGTACAGTCTTTCTGAAAAGCAATTTGGCAAAAGAAGTCAAGAACCTTAAAGATGTCCCTACGTTTGATCTAGAAATTTTACAATGAGGACACCATCATGGGAAAATAAACCAAAGTGTGTGCAAAGCTTTATGTATGAAGATTTTCATCCCAGTGTGAAAGATTAGAAATTATCTAAATGTGTGACTCAACAACCTCTCAAATCCATCCCTCAACTCCATCCCACTAAAACTCTGCCTGCCAAACAATAGACACTCGATACAATTGGACTCCAGGCCCTTATTTTCTCTGCTGAAGTTAATGCAGCAGCCTCTAACTGGTCTTCCTGCTGCCAGTGCAGGCCCCTCAAACCACCCTATGCACAGATTCCAGAGGGAGCGATCAAAAATATGCATGTCCTTCCGTGGCACCTCTTCAGGTTTCTTGCTTGCATCTCTTGGGGGTAATGTCCCCCCTGTTTCACTGGCCTTGCCCTCCACACCCTGCCCCCACCTCTGCTTTGGCTTGGTTTCTGGATGCCTCCTGCCTTGCATGCTGCACTCCAGCAGCACTGCCTGTGTTTCTCCCAGCCTGCTCACCTCCGGGACCTTGCTCCCCTGTTTTCCTTTGCCTGGCTAACCCCTGCTCATCCCTAGACTCAGAGCAGACTTCAGGACTTTCTGCAGACCAAGTGAGACCCACCCCCCATTTGTGTTCCCAAGATCCTACATGATCGCGATCCTTACAGTTGTACTTTGGTTTCTGTTATCTCCTTACATGCTCTGTCACCCTTACCAGCTCTGACCTCGAGAGCCTATCTTACTGACTTTGTGTCTCTGTTCCCCAGTATGGGGTCTGGCACTTAGGAGAAGCTCAATTTTCTTGAATGAGTGAATGAATGAAGAATGATGTAAGTTTTTTGTTATGAAGAAATAAATACATCCTGTGCGATGCTAAGCATGTAGTAA